GAGGGAGGGAGAGAGAGACGAGCGCCGGGAATCGGTCGCATCTGGGGCAAGAAGGGCGCGCGTCGTTGGTTTTAAAGGAGGCGGGTGGTTCGCCAGGGGATCCGGCGGTCCATTTCCTTCGCCCCGTGTCCCGTCCTGCCCGCTTGCAGACGTGCATTCCGAGGGACGGGTAACAGGGCTCGGCGTTGCTCCCTCTCTTTCTCGCAGATTTCCCTCTAGGAGCAACTCACCCGCAAAATCACAGCGCGTGCGGGTGGAAGCAGGTGAGGGCTAGCGCCCTAATAAAGTAAACCCATCTTTGGACCTATTGCAGAGGGGACGAGGCAGAGTAGGGAGGCAGTCCCACGAGGTAGGAAGAAAGACAGAAGAGGGGAAAGGAAGAAAGGACCGAAGTTTCCTCTTTTTTTAAGTACAACCAGATTTTAAAAGGCCATCACCTCCTCTGCGAGTGACCCTCTTGCCCCAGCCACGCCCACCAACATTCCTCCCTTGTGCTTCTCCAAGAGGTCGAACAGCGTCTAGCTGGGATTAAATAAACCGAAGGCGCATTATCCGCGGCATCCGAGATCTTGGCACTGGAGAGGCGGATGCGAAAATCGGCACCGCTTTTGGTGTGCGGAAAATAAACACGCTCACGGAGGATAAATCCCGTGGAGGCGTGCCTGCTCCTTCCGTAAGTGATCGGTTAGACCGAGTGCGCAGTGAGGCACAAGTTTGGTAGATAAGGGAGCGCGAGGGGGGAGCCCAGAGTCCACCGAAAGCGGTCCGCTGGGGAGCTGCCCGATCCAGCCAAAGGTGACCCCTCCGCGTACACACTTTCCTGATCTCACGGACTGGGTGGGGAATGTTTAAAGGAAGTGCTTAACATTTCCCAGGTGGAGCCGATGGTCTTAAAAGCATTCGGATAGCTGGGATCTGTTAATTTTTTTATTTTTAGGATAGCCGACAAGGGTTAATAAAGAGGAAAAGTCTTCCTTCTGGGGTGGAGCTTCGCAGGCTCTCCACGCCGCAGCCCGACTTGCACGAGCGGGCCGCTGGTTTGAGAGACCCCTCTGGGCACTCACTGGCACCTCCTTAGGCACCTTCCAGGTGAAATACAAGGGCTTCTGCTGGGGCGAGGGAAGGGGGACGCGCGCCGCGGGCGAGAGGGCAGCGAAATCCACAAGTGTTTTGAGCACCTCCCTATTTTCTGAGCCTCTGGATCATGGCGAACTGGAGCCCCAAACTGCGCGGGCTCAAATTAGCTTGCTCGGGTCATCCTCCATGTATTTGATGCCACAGTTGTGGGGGAGGAGGATTAAATACTGTCAATGCGGGGTTTTAATTAATAACATCAGGTCCAAACCCACAACAATGCAGGAGTGACTTTAGGAATATCTTTGTTTCACTTTTAGAACAACGTTTCCGCTCATGGTGGCTGCCTTGACCACCCTGCCCCTCTTACTTAAAACTGCTTATCAAACACCCCTATCCGTTCACACGTTCAAAGGGTAAGGATGAGATCCTCAGTTCAGACGAGAGCGGGTTTGTTTGGAGGGTTTTTCTTTCTCTCTTTCTTTTTTACTCTGTGCGATGCCACGGTGTGGGTCGGATTTACGCTGCATTAATTACGCGTGGGTCTATCTGCACAGGAACGGGTCTTACTGAGAGCCGTAGGATTTGCCATCAGGTAAATATGCTCAGGTCTTTTTCGTCTCAGGTAGGACCAGACTCCAGCTGACACCATTAGTCGTAAAAGCAGAGGTCACAAGGCTTCAGCTTGGGTGGATCGTCCTCTAACGAGCCCCGGTTCGGCCCAGTGGCCTGTTTCGGGTCGAAACGCCCACCAGCACCCTCCTTGCCCGCCCTAGGGCGCTGCCTGCAGCCTCTTCCGCGGAGATGGATTATTTCCTGATCAAGGCCCCCGCTAGGAGCCATTGTTTTGGCAAGAATTTGGGCACCCCAACGACCCCGGTTCCTGCAGAGGGATCCCTCTGGCTCCCTGAGCCACGAGGCTCCCGCCTAGGCAGACCTGCGCAAGTTGTTCCCAGGATGTAAATTAGGTCCCCAAAGCTGTTGTCCAAATCGAAGAAACAGAGAAATTAATCTGGGAGACTATCCATCATAGACTGTAATAAAGGGAGCGACATGGATGAGACAGATGATATGATTAAGGAGCTGTGGTCGTTTTAATTAACTTTTTGCTGTCCTGTAATGATCAAACTGGTCAACAGACCCGGTCAATAAGCATGTTAATATCAAACAAATAAAACCAGGGATGATTAAAAACCTCCTGGTTTATTAAATTTGAAATTCAAATGAAATTTATGCTGCAGATGCATACAGAATGCTAATACAGCCTCACTCATCGGGAGTCCTGGATACTACAGCTTTGCAAGAAAATGCACCGACATCTATCTAGCGCCCAGTGCATAATAGGGGTGGTGGTGAGTTTTAATTAATTTCGGCGGGGAAAATATCTTTCTGAGGTTCCCACCTCTTCCTGCCTGACACCTGGATGCTTCTTTCTTGATATAAGACTCCCTGGAAAGCAGCAGCCAACGGGTGTTGGTAGATAAAGCTACAAGTTCTGGGCTAACAGAAGAGGAGGAAAAGGCCTAATGGTCTACATGATGACCACGGGTGAATAAGCGTGACTCCCACGTTCAAGCAAACTCTTTCCGCCTCTAACTTTTCTGGGATACCAGGAACAGTCAGTATGGAGAAGCGTTGTTTTGCTTCATTTTTTCCTATTCTTAATCCAGCAAGTGGGTGTATCACTTTCAAAGCAACCCTTTACAAGTTCCAGTTTGGATCTATGCTGCTTCCTGGTATTGGGATCATAAACAGGAAGGAAAGAACAAGACAAGACAAGACAAGAAAGAGACTGGCAGGCCTGTGTAAACGACAGGTTTAAAGTCATCTAATATGTTGCAGTTTGAACAGAAGAACGTGTGCAGAAAGCCTGAAAAAGACAAGAAAGGAGGTTTGGCCTCTTTTCTTCCTAATGAATTTTATCTCTGCAATTGCTGTTGCTGCTGTTGAGAGAAGGCAGCACAAAACCACCATTTTATGCTAGATACTTGTAAGCTCTTTGTTCATGGGAAAGACCTTTCTTGTCTGTTCCCGGATCTGAAAATCTGCCCATATGTCTTAATAGTTACACTTCTGCAGCAGCGGATAAAGGCAACAGATAAAACTAATCACCATTCATTCATACCTAAGGGGCTCTTCTCCCATAAAAATACTCTCCCTTTCACATGCAACCCCCCTCACCTCTTTTGTCTCTCTGTTTGGGGGGGTCAAGGATAGTATTGACTCTGTTTAAATCCGAAATTTAAACAAGTGTGTATTAGGTCTTTAAAATGAATATCATTACAGAAGGAGACCAAAGCAATGAAGTTAATTCTTTTTTATTTGTTAAACGGAGTTCCCTCCTTCCCCCACCCCTTCCTCCTTCTGGGCTGGCCTGCCACGCCTTCTCAACAGGCTAAAATCATTCAGAGCAGCTCGCAGAGAGAAACACGACATTTATGGTAACCATCAGCCTTCAGAGAAAGAAAGCAGTTCATTAATTTACTTCTCTTTACTTCGAAGTATGATAATGCACACTATCCCTTAATCAATAGATATGATGTACAGTCAATAACCATAGGATGTAAAGGGGTCCCCCTTTCTCCTCTTTCTTAAAAGTAGCGCTCACGCCAAGATTTGTGATCTTGGACATTTCCGGACATTTCTATGCACCTGATTTTCTTCAGCAGTTTGGAAGAGGCAGGAAAGTCTGAGCCAAACATACTCTAGTTAGCCAAAACAACCCAATCCTCTCTGCTAGTACTGGATTTAATGTGCTCCACCTTGAAATCTATATTGGGACAGAGCTACAGTGGTGTGCAAATGCAGTTCTTTTCTTTCTGCTTAAATTAACAATGGTTACACATAAGCGCGCGCACACATACACACACTTTATTAAAGGAGCCATTTCCTGAGAATAACACAGCTGCCCGAACATTACTGACGTTACCTGCAACACTATTTATCAATTTAAATTTGCAACTAAAGGGAGAAGAAAAGTTAGCACCAAACCCCAGTCTGAATAAATATGCACGGTCCCAAGCAGAAAACATAAAATAACGATTAAAGGAAGTCCTAATAAGCTGAAGTTCAGCTCTATTGCACACATCCGGCGAAAGAGAAAAATAGCCAAAGTGCGCGGATATGGGAGACTCCGAAGAATTGTGCTTTCTTCGCCCTACACGAGAGGGTTCTTTTGGCGAGGAGCCTTCCTCCTCCTCCTCCTCCAAAAGCGTCTTTTCCCGATTCTACCAAAGACTCATCCGGAGTGTGTGCGCGCGTGTGTGCGTGTGCGTGTGCGCGCGCACGGGGAGGGGAGGGGAGGGGAGGGGAGGGGGGCGCCCTCGAAAGCCCTCCACCTTGGAACTCGCTCCCCAACTCCTGGGACACGGCGGCGCGCGCGCGCGCGCTGTCAGATTTATGTATCCTTTCCGAGGGCGAAAAGGGCCGGGGCGCGGGGCGCGGGGCGAGGGGCGGGGAGGCAGCGGCCGGGGGGTTCATATGCTCCCCCGAGCGCCGCCCGAGCAGCAGCGGCGGCGGCGGCGGCGGCGGGGGGAGGCGAGGCGAGGCGAGGCGGCAGAGGCGCGCCCGCCGCGGCGATGCCTGCCTGCCTGCCTGCCTGCCTGCCTGCCTGCCTGCCTGCCTGCCTGCCGCGGCTCGCCTGCGCTCTCGGCGGGCTGCGCGCCCGGCTCTCCTGAGCGCGGCGGCGGCGGCGGCGGCGGCGGGCGCTCGGCGGGGCTGATGACCTCACGCAGCAACGTCTTGGAGCGGTCGACGGAGCCGTAGATTGGCTGGCGCGGGCTCAGCGGCACTTCAAAGCCCGAGAAGGAGCTACAATTGTGGTGGAATGGGCGGAACTGATCATTGTATTGCACACCTCTAAAAAAAACACTGCCTCTGATTTATCAATATAAAAAAGATCCTCTGAGAGGAGGGCACTTTGTGGGATGGCAACTTCACTTCTAGGGGTGAGTCTGAGGGGCTTTCCCCCCCTCTTGCTGTTTTAATTGGGACCTTTTTATTGGCGATTCGAGAAGGGTTAAAGCAGCCCCTCTCTTGACCGGGGGCTATCAGTCTCCCTGTTGAGGCTTTTAGTTTAGCCTTTCTCTCTTAAGTCCAAGTGAGTTCGAGAGAAAAGAAAGAGAAGGGGAGGGGGGAAGGGGGCAGTCACTTTTTTTTGTCAGTGTGCAGGAAAAAGGTTTTAAGGGCATTAGCCCTTAATAACCTCCAGAGCTTGGGCTGAGAGATTCCTGCATCCCCGGAGAAGTGGCCTCTCTGTTATCTGCTCGAAGGGCAAAAGGCAGCTTGCCTCCCTCGGTTTTCTCTTTACTTGCGAGATTTTGCTTTTTTCAAAAATTCGCGACAGCTTGTTGTGGTTCATTTCCCCCTCCTTTTACCATTTCTCCAAGTCCGTCATTTCCTGCAGGTATGTTGAACATTTCTCACTGTCGGTTTCCTTGATGTGTGAATACCAAAAGGTTTTTCTTGGGGCGGGGAAGGGGAAAAGGGAAGCCTGGGATGGAAATCCTCGCTTTAAAAAGTTCAGTCGGGAGATGTGATACATTCTACGTCGGGGTGAGTTTTGTGTTGGCTAAAGCAACAGTCCTGTTTCCGGGGGTGATGGGGGCGGGCGGGGGGGGGCGAGAATGGACAGTGGGAAGGCAGCGCCTCTGGACGGAGCCTGCCTGGTGGCCCAAGCATCCCCCACCCCCGTTGTAGGGCTCTCAGTGCCTCCAGTCGGAATTAGTTTGAGCTCAAAGGTTCCAGGCTTGTCTCTGGGCTGCGACTCATTTTCAGTTCGAGAAATCGACGTTATTATTTAAAGGGAATCTCCCCGGAGATTTTGAGCAGGAGCCCAGTGGCTAAATGTCCTCCAGGGAGCCAAGAGGAGGTGTAAAGAAGCCCATCGGTAGCAGCTGGTGCCGAGGACGGTTGCGCGTAGCCCACCTTTCCCCCTCCGCGGGCGAGGCTCGTCAGCCAGCCAGCCAGCCCGCCCGGGCAAATCGGCGTCGCCGTCAGCGCGGGATCCTTTCCTGGCGAGGCTGACAGGCGCTTTCCCGGCCTTTCTCCCCTCTCGCTGCAGGAAGAACCGCGTTTGGGCTCCACTCCTCTGGCCATGCTCGCCGCCACCTGCAACAAGATCGGCAGCCCCAGCCCGTCGCCCTCGGCCCTGTCGGACAGCGCGTCGTCCTTCGGCAAAGGCTTCCACCCGTGGAAACGGTCCTCGTCGGCCGGCAGCTGCAACGTCGTGGGCTCCAGCCTGGCCGGCGTCGGGGTCTCGGCCTCGGCGCGCAACGGCTCCTCGGCTCACGCGGCCGCGGCGGCGGCGGCAGCGGCGGCGGCGGCCGCCCTGGTGTCCGACTCCTTCAGCTGCGGCGGCTCGCCGGGCTCCAGCGCCTTTTCGCTCACGTCGAGCGGCGCGGCCGCCGGCTCGCCCTTCGCCAACGACTACTCGGTGTTCCAGGCGCCCGGGCCGTCGGGCGGCGGGGGCGGCGGCGGCGGCGGCGGCGGCGGCGCGCAGGAGGCCGCGGCGCACCAGCCCGTCTTCATCTCCAAGGTGCACGCGTCGGTGGACGGGCTGCAGGGCATCTACCCGCGCGTGGGCATGGCGCACCCGTACGAGTCGTGGTTCAAGCCCTCGCACCCGAGCGACGCGGGCGCCTCCAGCTGGTGGGACGTGGGCGCCGGCTGGCTCGACGTGCAGAACCCCAACGGCGTCCACCCGGCGGCCGCCGCCGCCGCCGCCAGCGGGCTCCCGGCGGGCTCCCTGCACTCGCCGCTGGGCGCCTACAACTCGGATTACTCGGGCCTGGCGGGCCACTCGGCCTTCAGCAGCGGCGCCGCCTCCTCGCACCTGCTCAGCCCGGCCGGGCAGCACCTCATGGACGGATTTAAGCCCGTGCTGCCCGGCTCCTACCCGGACGCGGCGCCCTCGCCCCTGACGGCGGGCGCGGGCGGCTCCATGCTGGGCGCCGGGCCGGCGGCGCCGCTGGGCGGCTCGCCGCGCTCGTCGGCGCGCCGCTACTCGGGCCGCGCCACCTGCGACTGCCCCAACTGCCAGGAGGCCGAGCGGCTGGGGCCGGCGGGCGCCAGCCTGCGGCGCAAGGGGCTGCACAGCTGCCACATCCCGGGCTGCGGCAAGGTGTACGGCAAGACGTCGCACCTGAAGGCGCACCTGCGCTGGCACACGGGCGAGCGGCCCTTCGTGTGCAACTGGCTCTTCTGCGGCAAGCGCTTCACGCGCTCGGACGAGCTGCAGCGCCACCTGCGCACGCACACGGGCGAGAAGCGCTTCGCCTGCCCCGTCTGCAACAAGCGCTTCATGCGCAGCGACCACCTCAGCAAGCACGTCAAGACCCACAGCGGCGGCGGCGGCGGCGGCCCGGGCGGCGCGGGCGGCGGCGCGGGCGGCGGCAAGAAGGGCAGCGACTCCGACAGCGAGCACAGCGCGCCCGGCAGCCCGCCCTGCCACTCGCCGGAGCTGCTGCCGCCGCCCGAGCCCGGGCACCGGAACGGCCTGGAGTGAGCGGCGCGGGCGGCGGGCCCCCGGCCCCTCCGCGCGGGGCCCCCCGGCCCGGCCCGGCCTCGGCGTCGAGCCTCCCGCCTCGAGAGCGGCTCTCGCGAAGGGCTCTGGACATGTAAGTACCGCGGGGCGCCCGGCCAGCCCGACCCGCGCGCCCGCGGGCGAGGAGAGCAGAGCAGAGCAGAGCAGATCCGCCGCTGCAGGAAGCCTCGGCCGGACGCGGCCGCCCCCCACGCGCCCCGCGGACTTCCACGCGCGGGAAGGGGCTGCGCGCTCCGGCCTGCGCCGGGGCCGGGCGAGGGGCGGCCGGGGGTGCCCAGAGCTGGGCAGACCGCGGAGGGAAGGCGAGCAGCGCGCGAGAGGACTGGAGTCTCTTTTGGGGGCTACCCACCCAGCATCTCCTGCTGAAAGCACTTTGAATAACATATAATGGGAAACTTTTTCGTGAGTTTGTTTCAAAGGAACGCTGCATATTAAACTTCTGTTCAACTATGCTTTGACACTGCAGTCCTCAATCCGCTCCCTCTAGAATACTGCCGCTGAAGTTGGTGGGATGACTCTGGAGTAAAAAGGGTGATGCCTGATTGACTGTGTGCGTGTGTACGTGTGGTCACTAAATTCTCCATTCTCGAATCACGGTTGCCAATGTATTCCGCTAGGCATAAACTGGGCATGCTTCACAGCACTTCCAAGTGAACCGTGCTTAGGCGATTTAGCTTGTGATCCTAACTTGAGGTCTGGGGTTTACATTCTAAGGGGTGAAATCCAGGGAATAATGTTTGAAGTGTCATTCTCTTTGAAGCCAATCTAACTTTACAGCCAAATAAAAATTCCAAAATTGTTGGCTCTGATCTCATTAGAACTCTTGTCCAAGTCTCTTTTTAACTGTTCAGGATCTCAGCCTTATCTCTCAATCCCAAGAAGCAAGTTTAAGTAAATCTAACCACTTAAGCTCCATTGAACACAATGTGATTTGCTTCTGTGTAAAGTATGTTTCTGTGTAAATCGCCTTCAGTTGCAATCTGTATGGAGGTTTGTCTAGGAAGAAGGCATGCTAAGCCCGGTGGAATTTACTTCCGCATAAACATGCATGGAGCTGGACTGGAGTTCTCCCACCCAGTTGGAATATACTTGTGTACATCTTACTAATTTAAGTGAATTATGGATTGGGCTGTAAATCCAAGTGTTTGGCCTTAATTGATCACAGTCTAAATCATACTGCAAGTTTAGTCTTAAATATGCTTCTCGGAGGAAGTGTGATTACGCTAGCAAGCCTCACACTGGCACTCACACACTTGCTTAAACTTGTTCTTGGAAGCCTTTGAGCACCGTCCAGTCAAAGCATCTCATTGATTTCAGTAGTAATGCAAAGTAATGCAAAGCTCATGCTTCTCTGCTTGCTACTGAAATCAATAGGACCCTTGCAAGTGTTTAATTGTAACTGGACACTGCCCCAATTCTAAGTGTGTTTGACCTCAGAACTGCTTAGATATTTTCTCTTAAAAGTCTGAGGAAAATAACTCAAATTTGAGTGAATTCATTTTCTTACATTTTCCCCACATTAAAAAAATAAATAAAATAATACCAGCACCTCAGTTCACTTTCAGAGTTCCAGCATCAATATTTATGCAGTACGTTGGAAGCCACCTAGGATCAAAATGGTCATTATTTGTAGCATTATTTTTCTGGTATTAAAAGAAGTAAGGAAGTGCCCTTGCTTTTCAGCTAGTCTGTAGTTTGAATGCCAAAAAAAGAGGGAGAAAATAGAGACAAATATTTGTAAAATACGTATGAACCAACCGGTTTGTACAACGGAAATCGTTGTAAAGTACCTAACAATTAAGTATAACTCCACCAGTGTATCGGTGTGAGATGCAGTTGTCCAGGAGACGATTTTGTATAGTATTTTTCTTGTATATTACTTCCAGTAAATATTTGAAAATATATTGAAGTACACTTGAGCTTTTTTCCCTTCTTTTTTCCTTTTTCTTTTTGGTCACAAAAAATATTAAAGCATTATTGTTGCAGTCCTAATTAACTGCATTTTTAACTTGTTCTTTGAAGTGTACAGCAAATTGCACTTCAGGATATAGTTTTTGCTTGAATATTAATTTAGATAGGCATAAGATTGTAATTAAGCAAACAATATTTGATAAATGTTGAATGACATTTAATTTAATGGAGCATGTTCTTATTTGCATTTGCTGGCAGTTCAGATATAGTTTAAGTGAGAGTTCTCCTATATTTCAAAAGAGTGGGCACACCCAGACCCCATGTATTAAATAAATTGTCCAAGTGAAACTGACTAATGATGGCCTATGTGTATTTCCTGAAAATAAAAATTTAAAAATGGTGAATGTTACTAAAGCAGTCCTGATGCTACATTAAGAGTTTGCTAAGCCTGCAAACAAATAGTCTCATTGTAATGTTGAAATAAGTTTGGATATTTCACATTGAAATGAAAAAAAGAAAAAAAAGCCTTTCGCTGGAACACTTTAAATTTGCATTTTAAATGCATGAAATGTAATTGATTTTTATCTGTAAGATTTTAAATGGAATTAATAAATGCCAGATAAAAGATTTGTTCTTAGGTTAGTTAATTTCTTTCACAGGATAAAAAGGTGACATCGTTAAATGCACCTTTGCATTCCTTTCCCTCGGCCAGTGCTCCTGTTGAAAACGTATACACCCCCCATCCTTGCTGGACAACCGTTCCATAGAGGTCTCATTGACAGCCATAATCAGGCATGTTTTCAGGAGAGAAGCGCCCTGGCTGGTAAACAACTAGATTTACTTCGAAGTATGACCGTTTAGTCAGAAGCAGAACCATTTCTGTGGATGAAGGTGTGCCGAGGAAGGGGGGGGGAAAGGAGCGCATGCAGGGAATCATGCTGCAGACTGGGAGCATCAGCACTTTTGCCTTTAAAGCGTACTTTAAGAATGCTCTCCTTTGTGAAATGCAGCGAGAGAGCTGGCATTAACTGCTACAACTCCTCAGCAGATCAGATTCAGTAACTCCTGTGCACTTTGGAAAACATGATGAAGACTCATGAGTGAGCTGGCTGTATGTGCGTGCATATCTACATTTATTCTTTTTTAAGGAGGCTGAATAAGGCTGTGTTTAATGCAAGCAAGAAGAGAGTTGAAAGGATGTTTCTTTCTGTCGCTCTCAACAAAACAAAATCTGCAAGGTGGTTGTAGTTCCATAAAAGAGATTTTATACGGTGATCATCCCGGTAGGAGGGAGGGAGCAAGTCCCAGTGAATCCAGGAGATCCCACTTTCCCTGTAAAGAAGCTTAGGATCTGAGTGTCAGAGAGGTTCCTGAAAGATTTTGACAGTGAACAATTAACTCTTCTGGCAGTAGGAGGCTCCTTCTTAAGTCCAGAAGGAAAACTAACTGTTGATCTCTCCCTTTCTTAGCCATGTCTATGCTTGGTCTATGTTTGTTAGAGAGCGGTCCTGGCAGCCTGCGGTCCTTGCCCCCTTGAAAAAGAAATGATTTGGCATTGACACCCTGATCCTAAGCCGTTTACTTGGAAAGAAGTCCATGAGTTGCGGTTTCACTTCCCAGGAACTGTGCAGGCTTGGTTTCCAAATCGATGTGTTTAGGGTGAGGACTAGTCTCTTGCCTAATGGAAGGAGAAGTTGAAGAATAGCACCAACGCTTTAAGGTAGGATGAGCGCTGGTGCTCTCAGTTTTCTGTGTGCTTTTTCTCCAATAGTACAACCTGAAAATCTGGATGGCTTTGCTTTGGCAAGGGAATCTTTCCTGTCACCCTTCTGGCCTCCCTTTCAAAACTGTGTACTCAAGAAGGAATTGCTGTATTTTTGTATTAAAGAATAGAAAAAGAAGGAGAGTGCGGTGGAAGAGCTGAAGCTGCGGGCTTAGCTGAACTGAGAGGTTGCAACAGGAGGAACCATTTGCTTGTGAAAGGTCACCCTTTGTGCTAGTATTTTGTTCCTGTGCAGGTTTCTCCACCGGCACCTGGAAGTAACATGCTCAGGGACTGCAAGCAACACTTTGGTATTCTCCTCCCCGCTTCCCTGCTCTGCCTGGTAAAATGGAAACCTGCATGGCCTTGGTTTCATAATGCAGATTGCCGTGAAAGTGAGAACGTTCCAGTTGCACTTTTGCTTTTTTCGAGCAAAGTGAAATAACCACAAACCTTGCAAACTAAGCCTTGCAATCGGAGCAGGTTTTGGTTAGAGTTGTTCATGGTTTCTGTGATGGTTTCTTAGCTCTTCAACAGGAGGCATTGAGTGGGGTGGACCCCCCACCCCACAACTAAAAGTGTGGCTTTGTTTTGGCTGTGGTGTGTTTATTGATATAACTACTGCTAAGTCAGAATTGTGAAGGTTAGATCGATGCAAAGGAGAACAAATCCAGTTTGTTTGAGTCTCCTAGCCCTAACCCAAACCACACCCAACTCAGGACTGAGAGTGACCTTGGGGTCAATCTGGCCTCTATTAACCCTCTAAAGGCCTTCAAGTGATGCACCTCCCGTTTGCTCTTTGGCCCCTTTTAGATTGCTCTTCTATAAAGTTGTATTGTGCATCCAGTTTAAGTCAGTGTGTGTGAATAGGAAAGAACCTGGACAACTCTCTCTTGATTTTAGTAATTTAGGATCATTTGGACCTCCAGTAAGCTTCAGGGCTTAGGAAGTTCTAGTGCGAGCCAGACTAACCAAGACGGATGTACTTTGGGCTGTGGTAAAAGGAAAAATGGGCCAGGAACCATCTGCTGGCAGGGGACTATCCCCAGACAGTGACCAACAGGGCTTGAATGTACTTGCTCTGCTCTGCTGTGGCTTCTCTGGGTTCTGGAAGAATTGCATTTGCAGGTATATTCTGCGTTTATGCCTTGTCAAGGCCAGGCCCAAGAAGGCCACTCACTTTGCTCTCCCCCACCCTTAAGTTGAAATGCCAGGGAACCTCTTGGTTCCCCCAGTTGACCAAACTAAGTAGAAATGCACTTTTAACTGCCCCCAAATGTCTTTCCTT